GAGGCAATGAACCAATGAACCAATGAATCACTGAACCAATGAACCAATGAACGAATAAATTTAGCCAACTTCATCTTCCAAAAGTGCTCCAATGCCTTCAGTTTCTTTGATCTTTATGTGAAACCGAGCTCTCGCTACAGTCTCGTGCACCTTTTGCCAGCTTCATCGCCCAACAGTGCCCCGATCCCCTCAGATTTTTGTAACTTTTATGTGAGGTCGATCTCTCGCTACAGTCTCGTGCGCATTTTGTTGACCTATCTTCCAAAGTGCTCGAAGCATGCCAGTTTTTTTTTAACATTTTGAAGTGCAAATCGAGCTCTCGCTACAGTCTGGTGCACATTTTGCCGACCTCATCTTCCAAAAGTGCTCCGTGCATTTCACTGCAAATCGAGCGCTCGCAACAGTCGCGTACGCTTTTTCATGATGATGTGGTTGACATGATGATGGAAATGCTGACCATGACAATCGTGCGCAACTCGGAAGTTTTCTAACTAAACTTCCTTTGATAATACGATTTGCGTATGATATATGCTTATACGCACATCTACCTATCGACCTATCGACCTATCTACCTATCTATCTATCTATCTACCTGTCTACCTACCAATCTTTCTATCTACCTGTCTATCTGCCTGTCTATCTATCTACTGTACCTACATACAAATCTATTTATCTATCTATCTATCCATCTATCCATCCATCCATCTATCTGCAAATGCAAAGACACACAAACAAACATACCCAAAATATGCGAAGAGACAGACCTACGGATAGAAATGTGCAAACATGCAAAACATGTCCCCGCGTAAACGAGCACAAGTGTACATGCATATCTAAACACTTGAAATACACTTTGCCCACAAATCCAAACTTTATTTACACAACAATATATATATATAATATATATATATATATATATAATGTATGCCCTCTCTCACATGCACGTACCTGGCCACAAAAATACGCGCGCTCACACACACGCACACAAAAACAGATGTGTATATCAAAACTCTGGATTATACTAAATGCATATTCATAGCCTTTGTACACGGAGCTGACATATGCAAATTGGGTACCATAGTAACCCCAGATCCAGTTGTCTATCACCTTCCCTGTGTAAAACGGCTAGATGTTGGGGTTCACCTCCATGTCTAGACAAATGCGAATATCACATTGGTTCTTTATCAAATCATTTCTACATATCTTGTTGGCTACTATTATATATATATAATATATATATATTGAGGTATATGTATATTTGCTGTTTGAAGGCAAACAACGTTCTCTGGGTTTCGAAAAAGACCCTCATGGTACGAATCACAACGCAATTCTCGTGGCGTGAGCCAAGCAGCGATCACAATGATCGAAGGCACGGTCGAAGTCATCGGCGGCCATCGCCTGACGGGCTGGGTAGCAAGCCCTAAATAGTGGTAAATCACTCTTGTTCCATCGTCTTGGGGCATACTATACAAGTACGCAATATGATGTAATATCATGTAATACCATGTAATATTATGTAACATTATGAAATATTATGTAATATGTATGTGAATACACATGGCCTTGTCAAAAACAACATCTCATCTGGTTCGTGCCGGGGCTTGACTAGATTTTGTAATCGCTCGATGATGCGACACCAGTCCAGCAAAAGCTGTCTATAAATCATTGTCTCTTTCCGACACCTCATTTGTAGCTGGTAAAAACATATCTGATGTATCTGGTTGTTTCAAGGAAATACCCAAAACATTACATCAGATTAATTCATATCAAACTATCATATACTGGACACATACAGCAAAAACATGGGATTTTCATGGATTTTCATCGCAGGAACCACCCACCAGGCAGGACATCCAAACAGTGGGGTGAGGAGCCGCTTACCCGTTTCCTTTGGATCTTCCAATTTTGAAATCTACCCAGAAGTCATCCGCACCTACCCAAAAAGCGCTAGCAGAACAGGATAACATGTTCAGACTTGGACTTGCTGCACAACTTTGCTACCTGCAACATTGATATTTTGACAGTCCTCTCGCGCATTTTCCAAGGACAGGTTCACCACAAAAAAGTATGCTCTTTTGAAATTTTGACGGTGTAGTTCCCGAAATAAGTTGGCTACATGAACACTGTTTGTACTTTGCAGTTGTACCTGCATTTCATTTGGATATGATGGGTTTTGACCACTAGATCACCATTCTGCAGGTTACGCTTCACATTTTTGTTGATCTCCAGCACTCTCAGTGATCAGACATACCCGTGATACCAGTTTTTTTAATCACCTATTGAACACCTATTATATATACAATTAAACACCTTTGTGGGTAGTCAACCAGCAAACACCACTCTGAAGATCTGCAACTTGGGAACAATTGCAGGACGGTCCTTGCCGCGGAAAATGGGGACAGTGGGGCGAGGTTGGATCAGGCGGGGTGTCTTGAAAATGTCGGAGCATATCATACTTTCACCATCTGAACGTAATATTTACAATTTACAAGTATCTGGTAATACAACCACAACTGGTTGAAAGCGATACTATCTGATTGATACATCTGCATCAGTACATATTACTTTGTACCACACACACACATTCCCCGATTGAAGACCCCCTTATAAACCATGGTTTAATACTGAATCTGTTCATTGTGGGGGGATGGGATACCAGGCGTACAACAGCAGCTTCAACCCCAGCTTGAAGCTGCCACCTTTCCGGAAGGTTCCCTGACGTTTGGATCCTATACATGTCTGGGCTTATGGTCCCAGATCGTAACTAGCCAGTGGGCTATGTGGCGCAACAATTGACTAATGACCCAAACAGTTGGTACAGTTATCCACCGCAAAATAGAAGCTACCAATTTGGAGCCCACCAATCTGGAACCCAAATGACCCCTATATTGGGACGTATTGGGCCGGTTAGCGCCGTATTTGCTGGATCGAAACCTCCAAAATATGGGGTTGTCCGAAAATATGGTACCTCAAAATCAATGCACAGCAATGTTTTTCGCTATAAAATATATTTCTTTCGGGGCGTGCTCCATTTTCAGACACACCCACTTGCGTTCCAGGAAATTCTTTGAGCAAAATTTTGGTAGCAGCAGCACTTCGCCAAGCATCGAATTGCAAGTGATTGCCGAGTTCGTGACCCTCTGTTACTGCGCGCTTCAATAACTCGCGGTATCTCCTGAGTGGTGATGGCCAGCAGTGCACATCACTGCTGCCCCCACAAAATGCACATATCCAAAATATCTATGCAGGACCGTCATTGTTGCCACCTGGAACAATGGCTCTGGTTGGGGGGTCTCATTCACCTGCATCCAGGTGCAAGTCTCTTCCGAAGTTCCGGGCTGGCACCACCATGCTCAACCGCCACATCAAAGCCAGACATGATCATCAAAGTGGCGTGCACCTCGCGAACAAGTTCTTGCAAAGCTCCACGGGTTCTCAGTAAACAAAATACATATCACGCCCTTCAATAGGACTTTCCTTTTATAATCCTTTTATAATCTTTTATATACATGCTTTGTCTTTTTCTAGACAATAATATGACCTAAACCATAGCTGGATTTCTTTTGCTTTGGAACTCGAGAAAAAACAACTCGCGGCCGTTTTGAAGCGTGTTTGAGCTCTCTTGAACCGTGTAAGCAGTCAAAAAACCATACTCATGAGGTTGATCAGATCCCATCAAGGCACATGAATTGAAATGTCTTGGCTCTTGTTTGACTATCTGAACTTCAGCAAACAAACATCTTTTGCTAATTGCCTGCCTGATTCCAAACGTTACAGCTTGATACAAAATGAACTTCAAGGATATGCTTCCAGCGACAACCCAAACTGACAGATGAAACCTGCTGTGAACTGTACAGCACTTTCAATGTAAGTTGGATGACCCAGGCTGGACGACTGGTGAGGTTGGGATTTAAATCATGTTGTGACAAATGTGGACGGAACGTACAGTAAGTGATGTCCAATGGAACAGTAGAATAAAGACCAACCCATCACAACGGCAAAACACCCCAAAGTTTCCCAAATGAAATGGATGGAACTACAATGTAGTGCCTAAATCGGAATCTTGGCGTATGACCTCTACAAGAATGAAACTCTGTCTCACTGGAGGGATCTTGATTTTGCGAGTTGGGACTGGCCCACGGTGCACACATAGACACGGGCCAAGAAACTTTGTAGACAGATTGACGGTATAGTAGCCCCAGGAGTGTTTGGACAAATGTGTAGGTGCATTAAACGCCTGGAACTGGGGGTAGTTGTCCTTAGCTGGGTTTGTCCAAGAATGGGTATATTTATCCCCAACAAAAATGCAATTTCAATAGGGTCAATTACTATCAAACATGTTTTTATTTCTATCTTTAATGCATTTTGGAGTCCCCTATTTTCACACAACCCCCAGCTCAATCAAGAAGGTTTCACTGCCGGCACCTGGTTCTCCTTCAGCACATCCAAAATGGCCTCATTCTAGGTCAGTTGAGATATTTCAGGTGATGCTTTGGGACAAACTATAAACGTCACGGTACATTTTAAACAAACAAATGGTAGAATCAATGATCAATGTGTTATTTCGACCAATAGACCTCCAACATCAGGTTCATTAAGCCCTTCTTCCAATTTCCTTCAGTTCCTCTTCCCCTCTTTGTTGGTTGATTCTCGTTAGAGCACCCCTGCCAAGATTCCCCAAGAGATAGAAAAGTACCCCCCTACCGAAACAGTGGCAAATGAATGCAAATTGCTCTTAATTGTTTTCGGGGGTTGCTGCGTATCCTGCATATTCTACAATCAAACATGGGAATTGAAAATCCATGAGCATCCCTATAAATGGAGGTTCATAGCTGGGAAAATCTACTATATATTGTTAAAATATATTTTTTCCCGTTATTTTCCAGCACACCATGTTTGACCATAGGGTATTCATTGAGCCGCTCGGCCTCCAGGGTGGAAGGGGAGTTCAACAGCGGCACGTCATCGATGGTTAGGGCGGCCAACGGACGTCTCAAGGAGCGTCGCCAGACCACCTGTGGAGCGAGTGACCTTTTAAGAACCATCTTGGTAGTAACTTACTGGCGTTGTGGAACATTTCACTATGGTTGATAGGAAAATCATCGATGGTGTTCAAAAAAGCCAGCTTTGCTTACTAAAGGCCAAATGAATATTCATCTCCCCCACTCCCGATGGTCCCAGAAGAATTGACCCATCCCATCCTTTCCACCATTGGGTCAATGTCTCCATTGTTGCTGCTTGATCTATTGATCCAAGTCATCCAAATCCACTTCTTTTGGTTTTGAGGGCCCACTATTGTAAGAAATCCCCATATTTGGATGCTGAAACAAATGATCTAGACTCTGCACCAAACCGAGAAGCGATGTTACATTGCTAGGCGCGGCCAGGCCCCACCGTCTCTGGGCCGCCCCACATCTGGAGGGCATCCTAAGTGCGGTGCCTCAGGCTTTTTCCGGCTGAAATACCCAATTTCAAGATGTTTCAAGGAGTTGCCAGTGGATTTTCCATGATTTTCCAATGCCTTTTTGTCACTACTGGATACACAAGTCAACATGTCTCAACCTGGATTGACCCAGCCAGTCAGCCAGCAAGATCCCTTCACCCAACTTCCAAAGCTTGAAATACCAACCAAGTTCGAAACGTTGATGGCTGTTGTTATCCAATGTCTTCTGTCTTGTCATCGTCGTCATCGTCGTCATCGTGGTCATCGTCATCATCGTCATCATCGTCATCATCGTCATCATCGTCATCATCGTCGTCATCGTCGTCATCATCATCATCATCAGCACCAGCAGCAGCAGCAGCAACACCACCAGCAGCAGCAGCAGCAGCAGCAGCAACACCACCAGCAGCAGCAGCAGCATCATCATCATCGTCATCATCATCATCATCATCATCAACCGCATCATCATCATCATCATTATCATCATCATCATCATCACCATCATCATCATCACCATCATCATCATCACCATCATCATCATCATCATCGATCATGATCATGCCTCTCATTCTCGCTATTGTTGTCATTAATGCCGCAATTGATACTGGTGAATAAACAAATCATAAATTATCTTCCAAGATACAGGAAAAACATGGAAAAACACACACATTTTCCAAACATCAAACCACATGGCCTAGCCCCAAGGCCACGTGACCAAATCCAGAAACCAATCGTGCAGAAAGTAGCTCTGTTCCTGCAGGAGTCGGCAACATCTCCAAGATGGAAACTTTTTATAGTGCGGTCCACAAGAAGATGAATGAAATACAATGACAAACAACATACAATACTGTATACTACTGTATCCAACTGACAACTTGACATATTCTTTCACTACAAGTAGCTCGTGTTGGAAGTTCTTTTGCGGAATTGCTTTGGAAGATGGCGCATGTCCAACTCACAATACCGAGAAAAACTAGATACCATCTACTAAACATGGTAGAACAAACCTTTTTAACATCTCGGCCTTTGCCAATTATATAAACATCTGCAAACTGAGGAATGTGTCCCCCATGAAGTCTATTGATCTGGTGGCTGGGAGTTTAATCTTCTCTTGAATTTGGATTTGAATATATAATTCGTGTTTATTGAGGCCAAACGTCTCATCCACACTATATCAAGCCCTCGTTGCGTGCTATCCCTCTTGGATTTAGACATCGGAACCCAATGAGGACATCAGTCACAAAACCTCCATGGCCCATGGCTAAAAGGTACGTTTTTTCACCTCCTGCCATCATCATCCCACCCCCCCGCCAGCAGCAAGGCCAGCATCAGGCCCAAAATCCATAGGGTGCCAGAGCGACGCATGGCATAAATCACTCCGCTGACGCCCAGCAAAATACCTTGGAAAAGAGGGATGGATATGGATGGACATCACCAAACATGGCTGGATTGTAGTGGTTGAGCCACGCCCCTAACATAGGAATCATCAGTTGGGGTTATGGATTCACAACAAAACTGGACAACTCAACAAATTGGAACCCACCAACGAGATGGGATTGAATCACACCTGTGCGCGCCCTATGAATCAAGTGGTGCGCAAGTCAACAGATGGATATGTTGTACCCACGTGCATGATGGTCTGACAGGTATGCCAATTTCATGCACGTGAAATGATCAGCTTGTTTTAGGTCTCATCAAACCACGATCTCAATTCCATCCCAAAAATGTGGGGAAACCGGTCATCCAGTCATCCATTCCCTTTCAAAGGCATAAATAGACCGTTGGTCTCTGCGGTCCTCTGATTCGCATCTTCTTCAGAAACCTAAACAAAAATCTTCTGGCAAACCCAAGTTGCTTGATCTAAAATCAGCTCATTGAAATGAACCGCTGCCTTCAACAATATGTTACTAGACCTGTCTAAACAATGCGCATCGGAGAAACTCCAAGTCAACTAGTGCTGGTTCCTCAGCTTCACACAACTACACTAACAAAAAAATTGGTACAGGCTCATCAACGTCTGCAAACTCAATTCATCACCCATCTAGTGTCATGTTCCA